TCGAAAAAATAAAGCCAGAACTTGAACTTTGAGAGATTTTGTGATGGTGGCGGCGTCTGTTGTTGTTGGTGCTCGAACGTTGTGGTGGTGGCGGCGGCTGTTGTTGTAGATCGAAGGGAGAATATGAGGGAGAGGAGATCGATGGAGATGAAAGAATAAAAAAGAACGAAGAGAGAGAGAAAAGAACGAACAGAGAGAGAGAGGAGATTGAAAGAAGAATGAACAATGGAGATTGAAAGAAGAATGAACAGAGAGAGAAGGAGGAGAGAGAAGGAGAGGAGAGGAAATGGGGGCGGATTAAACGATTTTAGGGTATAAATGTTTAATGCTCCGTTTTTTATTTTTAAAAGGGTGAACCGGTTCAGTGGCACCGGTTCAAACCGGTGCCATTTGCATTTTTGGCACCGGTTCGATCTGAACCGGTGCCTTTTCTCTTCGTCTAAAATCCCGCCCATTTCTGGACCGGTTTTGGGCACCGGTTTAGCCTGAACCGGTGCCATATGGGGGGTGCCTAATGCTTTTTTTCTACTAGTGTTATAATCATATTAACCCTAAACAAGAGGGTGTGATCAAGCAATAACAAAAAAAAATCAAGCAACATAATAATAGTAACAATAATAATAATAATAATAATAATAATAATAATAATAATCATAATTAAAATAATCATGTTAAAGTATAAAAATAGCAAGATCCTAGGCATGATATTAACAAGATTACTAACAATAATTGGTCTTGTATGGACCCGGTTTACAATAAATTATTGTAGACCCAAAATTTGACACTTTCAAATAGTATAATCACATTCTGCATGATATAATCACTTTTTTAGACGATATAATTATCTTTTTGTGAGTCATATTTTGAATTATATAATCTCATTCTCATACTTATTAACCATTTAATGAGATTATATAATTATATAAAATTTAAAAATCATCTTTTGAATGGATGTAATTTACTATTTAATTTGATACTTTTTATAATGATAAATTCACTTTTTGAGGGATACAGTTACATAACAGTTTCAGGATGATATAATCACTTTTGTAGTGATATAATCACATTTCGTATGATATAATCACATTCGTATGGTATACTAGAAGGTTGGGTCTACAATAAGTAATTGTAGACCTGGTCTATTCTAGTCTTTACTAACAAACCCTAGCATGCCACTAAACAATAAAAATCAAAGCTTTAGCCCTAACATGATACTAACATGATATTAGGGAAGAAAATAAAAAGCATCACAACAACCATACTTGCTTGATATTAGGAATTTTTAGTTATTACCCTAAACATGATAATAGGAAGCAATAAAACATTCTAGCATGATATTAGGAATCAAAATAATAATCTAAGCATGATTTGTATATCATAATATCGATTAAGCAATTAAAGTACTTACTTGGATGCCTTGTATCTCTTTCTAATAACAAAATACACACATTAGTAACTTCAAGGAAAATAATAAAATCAAACAATTAAATTAAATAATTGAAATAGAGATTTGGGACCAAACCCTCATAAATATTAAACCTTTCACGTCTAGGGCGAAGGCAACTTCGAATGTGGCTAGGTGTGTCTAGATCTTGTGAATGCGGAATTTTGTTTGTGAAAATTTGTTTAGAAAAAAAAAAAAGAATATCAAGAATTTCTTGATAAGAGTTGGTGATTTGAAAACGGAGGTCTAAGGACGCTATTTATAATGAAAATAGTCCGAATATGATAAAAAAGAATCGGAGCTTGCAAAGGAATAAAACACGCCGTTGTCGCCACAACAACCCCTATAGCCGCGCGATAGGCCTGTTGTCCGATGCTGTAAGACAGTTTTTGCGGATTTTATTTTTATCATCTCTTTTGATCCAGAAGTCCAAATAAGGCATATAATATGTCGTTGGAAAGCTCTTGAAGTCTACTTTCTAACCCAATTAAAATCTTTTGTAGATAAAAAGATCGATATGGCCGAAATAGTGTAAGGGTGTCAGATTTGGATAGAGTTTCATATTCCATTCATTTCTTTTTCGTTATAGCTTGTATTTAATATTATAATGTATCATTGAAAAGATAATTTCAAGATCTATCCAACCATATAAAATTTGGATAAAGATTATGAGGCACAAAAATAATATCTAAATATATTCTATCTCGTACAAAATAAGGATTCTCAAAAGGAGTAGTTTTATTCAATTTCAAACTCTTTGAAACATAATTATCAATCCTAACTCCATTAGGATTTAAGAGAACCTTCTAGAGTATTCTAGAAGACTATAATCAATCATAATAGCTTTAGGAATGATAATTAATAATAGACCCTCCTCTAGATCATTGGACCGTATGTAAGAACCAAACCGGACCCAGTTTAGTATTTTGGCCATAACTTCCTCATTATTCATCGGAATTGGGCTTATAATATATCGTTGGAAATGTCTATTCAAGCCCCATCCAACTACACCATTATTGTACCCTTTTCATGGACCAAACTAAACTATAATACACGTTTTTCATAAATAGGGTAAGAAAAGAAATATTTTCAAAAAACAGAAAGAGGAGATATTTTAATAAAAACATCCTCATCACTAGACTTTTCACACTTTTGCTTTGTTCGATAATCAATGACATGAAAGGTATTCATCACTGGGTTTGGTTTTGGGGAGACACATTTGGGTGTCTACAGTCGCCAAATAATTCTTCACCGCTATCGACCTGCTAAGATTCACTACTACAAAAAATCCCTAATAAGTCAGACTTTTAGAGTCACCTGTACATAAGGTGCGACTTATAAACCTATCGAGTCGCCTTATACTTATTAGGTGACCTGTTAAGTTGGGGTTAATAAAATCAACAAAGCAGCTAACAAGTCGCCTAATATATATGAGGTGACTTGAAAAGTTAACAAGTCGCCCCATATATGCACGCGACTCTATAATCCGACTTATTTGGTGGTTTAAATTAGATTTTCAAAGTCACTTGTACATAAATTGCGACTCGAAAACATGTCGAGTCGCCTTATACATATTAGGCGACTCAATAGGTGAGTTTTGTTATCTATGACTCTCACCTAATGAGTCGCCTAATATGTATAAGGCGACTCGATAGGTTAATGAGTCGCACCTTATATACAAGTGACTTTGAAAAGCTAATTTAACCCACCGAATAAGTCGAGTTGTAGAGTCACATGCATATATGGTGCGACTTGTAAACCTATCAAGTCACCTCATGTATATCAGGTGACTCGATCATTAGGTGCTTTGTTGATTTTAACCCCAACTTAACAAGTCGCCTAATAAGTATGAGGCGACACGATATGTTTACAAGTCGCACCTTACATACAGGTGACTTTAAAAGTTCAACTTGTTAGGTGCTTTATTATATGACCACTACCTAATAAGTCGCCTAATACGTAAGACGCGACTCGATAGGTTAATTTTAAGAATGCATTTAAAATAGTTACATTATCTTATATATATGAAAAGTAACTTTGGCATAATGGCAAGAACTCCAACCTTCCAGGCAAAGAACCAGAGATCAAGCATGCTGAGTGTCATAAACACTGACATTATATGAGCTAATAAAAATAATTGGAAAAAAATGTTGATTTTTTACGTGTCGCCTCTTTCAACACAAGCGACACAATAGATGAACCTATGGAGCCGCCTCTTTTCAACACAAGCGACACAATAGCTTAACAAATAGAGTCACCTAAGCTAAAAACTAATTGGTGACTTATATAAAAGTTATCGAGTCGCCTCAGAGGCGACTCCTAAAGTTGAAAGCTATTGTGTCGGTGGTTGTGGAGTCGCCTTTAAAATGACTCGTTAGGTCATTTACAGGCGACTCGATAGGGGTTTTTTTGTAGTAGTGATTGTTTTAGTGCGACTTGGAAATGAAGGAGAGGATATAGATTGAGAAAGATTAAGTTAGGCGGAAATAACGAGGAATGATAGAGGAAAAATCTAGGGAAAGAGAAATGAATACTTACCTACTTGGTGACTAATAAAGTTTTAAAAAAAATCAAGGCAAGAGGTGTGTCAAGTCTAACAAAAGGTTGTTATCTTTTTCTTTCAAATTTTCTAACCTAAGTATTGGGCCCTACTACATATTAGACATCCGTTGGTGACTAATAAAGCTGTAAAAAATCAAGACGGATCTCTTACTTTTTTTACTTTTTTTTTTTATCTCCATAGTGGTGAGGCCTATTACACGTTACAGACCCGTAATCTATGATATTAGGTCTCTTACATAAAACAAACATGTTGGTTGATATGACGGGTCTTTTATTTGGGGTCCCTTATTCAAATTTTGTAGTAGTGTTTGAACTTAACCCGGCACCGATTACACCCAACTTGAACTTAGCTCGAAACCGATTTGACCTGACCTGAACTCAAACCGAACCAATTTTGACCCGACCTGAACTTAACCCGAATCAAAATTGACTCGAGTATTATTCGATTCAATCCAATGTGTCTTTATCCGAATTGATATTAACCCAACCTGATTTTAATTTAACCTAATTTTGATTTGACGTGATTTTAAAATTTACCTATATATGAATATTAATTTGGTCAACCCAACCAAACCCGAAAAGTATCTAAATTAGAATTGATCAAATATCGAATCAACATTAGTAATCAACCCAAAACTTAACATAACTGAAATCAATCGAACTAGAACCAACCCGATCTAAAGTCATCCAACCAGAAATTAACCTGGTCAAACCCATACTGAACCCAACCTGAATTTATCCGAACCGAGTATGAACCGATCTTAAGTTAGACCGGATGGATCCAAAACCCATATTGACTTGACAGGCCTTGACTCGAATTTGACCCGACTAAAAAAAGACCCAATCTTAACAGGGTAATTTTGAACTAAGTATATCTGGTCCACAGACCCGTCTCGTCATGGATCAACCCAAACTCCACCCGGTTATCCGAATTAACAAATGTAGGTGTGTTGATTTGTTGAGCTCTTTCATTAAAGCAAAATCATAAAGTTAATCAGACCAAATCTCATCTCATCCATATTATAAAAAGTAAGCCTACAACTCACAAAAAAAAAAAAAAAAAAAAAAAAAAAAAAAAAAAACCTTAATTAAGCTGTATTAGGTTCTAATAAAGAAAAGTAAAAATAAAATAAAACCGTACTACTACTTTGTAAATTTATCCATAACTAAAGTGTTCTTAGCGATGGACCATCAACAATCACTCACCAACCTAGCAGACGTCTCACTGACTCTCACCGGCCGTCTGTCGTCAACGGAGGCGAATAAGAACAAGAACTTGGTCATCTCACCACTCTCACTTCATGTCATACTTGGTGTGATCGCTGCCGGATCATCTGGCTCAACTCGTGACCAACTTCTTACGTATCTTAAGGCTAATTCCTCTGATGAACTCAACAAACTTTGTGCAGAGCTTGTATCACTCGTCTTTGCTGATGGCAGCGCCACCGGTGGGCCTAAGTTGAGCTATGCTAATGGTGTTTGGGTTGATCAAACTCTTCCTCTTAACCCCACTTTCAAACATCTACTTGATCATGTTTACAAAGCTTCTTCTAATCAAGTTGATTTTTGCAACAAAGTATGTACACTTCTACCACTTCACCAAAGTTTTGTTTTATTTATTTTTGTTTGTTTAAAAGTTTGAGTTTAATGTTCATCAAATTTCTATATAATTTGTTATTGCAACCTAATCGAGTAATCGTATGATGTCTATGCATACATGTATGCAGGACAACGAAGTGGCCTTAGATGTGAATTCATGGGCTAAGGACAAGACTAATGGCCTTATAAGCGATTCGTTAGCTCCTAACTCCATTGATTGCAACACAAAGCTCATCTTTGCAAACGCAATATACTTCAAGGGGGCATGGAAGGAGAAGTTTGATGCATCACGAACAAAGGAAGATGACTTTTATCTATTGAATGGCAACTCGATTAAGGTTCCTTTTATGACCACCAAGTATGATCAGTTCATCAAAGCTTTCATTGGTTTTAAAGTTCTTCGTCTTCCTTATGAACAAGGAGAAGAAGATAAGCGTCAATTTTCTATGTATCTCTTCCTTCCAGATGAGAAAGATGGGCTTCCCGCCTTGATGCAGAAACTAAACTCAGAACCTGCTTTTCTACATAAGCTTCTTCCACTATTAGCTCAAAAAGTTCAAGCAGTTGAATTTAAGATTCCTAAGTTCAAGTTTTCATTTGGATTTGAGGCTTCAAATGTTTTAAAGTGGTTGGGAGTTGAGTTGCCCTTTAAGGAGGGTGGCCTTACTGAAATGACAGACTCATCATCCGCCATGGCTCAGAAACTTTATGTTTCAGACATTTTCCAGAAATCCTTTATTGAGATCGACGAGGAAGGGACTGAATCTGCTGCTGCTTCTAGAGCTCTATTTAAGTGTTGCAGAATGCCCATGTTAAATTTCGTAGCTAACTATCCATTTATGTTCCTTATAAGAGATGACATAACCGGAGCTGTGTTATTCACTGGACAAGTTATGAATCCTCTTGAGGATTAAAAAGTTCGAGTTAGAATCAGTCTTAGACAATTGTAAATGTATCTAGTATCAATGTTGTGAGCGTGTTATAGTTAATTATTATGCTTTTCATTTGAAATTTATTTAGTGACACACTTTGGCAAGTCATCCATCTATTTGTATTTCCTCTAGGGGATATGATCTGTAATGTATATCAGAGATATTGGTGTAGTCTGATAACAAATAAAGTCAGAGTTTGGTTCGCAACATCTTAACAAATTAAATACAGTAAGAATTGTATCCATGAATCTCTTTATTTGGCTTTGCAAGCCTGAATTACTAAAGGGACATTCTCTTGTAGCATCACCATTACTTTAATAAGGAGTACGAAGCAATATATATGGCCCTGAGATAAACTACAAAAGGCATTCAAAGTGATTTTCTCATCACTTTCATAACACAAAAGTAAAGCCACTTTGTCACAGTATCCAAAAGCCAAAACAAACAGTAATTCTGACAATTTATAATGCAATTCACACTTCGTTTCAACCTGAGAAAAAGAAATGCAGAATGCCTGTGTTAAACTTCGTAGCTAACTATCCATTCGTGTTCCTTAAAACAAATTACATAATCGGAGCTGTGCTATTCACAGGACAAGCTACTTCCTAGCTAACAATTCTATTAACTTATTCAGAAATTTAATCATATTTTACAAAGTTACTCGGGGCATTGCCCATGCATGGATGCACCAGATTTTTTCAGACATCAAAAACCAGTACATGAAGACTACTGTGTCAAACAAAGAAAGTAATTATTTGGAATCAGGATGAGGTATACATGACAAACTTCACTTGTTACGATCTTGCAAGTCATAACTCCAGAGGGTCAATACCTATACGCTGATATGATATAATATCTTTGATGACTTTGTAAGATGTATCTATTACAGTACGAAACATACCCAGGAAGCTCATAATCTGGCTTTGCAAGTCAGAATGTAGGGGACCTGCTTTTCGCATCTGTGCAACCTTTAATGAAATATATGGCCCTGAGAAAAACTACAGAAAGCAGTATACATACTGATTCTTTTATCACAAACATAAAGCAAAAGAAAAGCTACTTTCTCACAATATCCATAAAGCAGGGCATTTACAGTACATTAGACGTGAATCTTTATCATGCGAATTCACACTTTCTATTTTCAATGGTTTTATATACTCGATTTCACAGATAAAAATGCAAAAAAGAAAAAAAAGAAGCATAAAGGAATAGCAGTAGACTTACATATGACAATCGATGAAAATGCCAGAAAAACTGTGTAAAACAGAAAATCCATTGATTCCATTCCACTCCTCTTTAATGTTGCACTGTTGCAGTTGATTTGGAGAGATGGAATTACTTTGGCCATTGATTCTACAAAGAAGACTTTCCGGAAAACAATTGAGAGATGGACATAGTTAGAAAGTTTTAAGCATAGTCATACAAACCCATGTCAAGCAGTGGATTAATGTCAATTAGATGTTTGTTGCATATACAGACTGACTCTTCTATGAACCTTGAGGTATTCTGCCCTCTATTCATCAGATTTTCCCATATTCTAGCTACAGCTACTGTTATCGAACTACAATCTGAAGACTATCTCCTAGAAGAGAGTACCCTGGAGCCCTCTTTTGCACAAACCAACCTACCTGATTTAGCTACTTCACAAATTACAACAGAACAGAAGTGACAGATCAGCATATATACATATCTGTTTTATTTTACTCAGCTTCATCCTGTAGAGAAACATCGAAAATAATCTGCACATAGCAGCTCATAGGGTACATATCACCTCCTTACCGAATTCATTTGGAAGTCATTATTCTGACGAATATCCACCATTTTCAAAGTCCTAAAATATTCCCTTCAGCTACAGCCTACAGCTTCCAATAAAACCACAAGTTCAGAATGTAACTGAGGGCTTGAACCACAAAATGGAACACTGAAAGGTGTGAAAGCCCCACCTGCAAACAATGTCTGAAAACTGATGCTAGGCTACAGAGATCAGTTCTTGAACTGCCTTCTTGGAATAAGATTTCTTCCAAGTTTTGACAGCATCTTTGCTTAAGAAGTTAAAAGTAATTTCACTTGTGGCCAATATCTTGGATGAGCGGAAATTCCAGGTGAATGATGAAAGATGAGTGACCTTCCCCCCTAAGATATTGCAGAGTACCATTCATGGTTCTGACAAGCTTGTGGCTAATGTACAAGCTCAGTCCTTCTCTTGACATGCCTGTGTTTCGGTGGAACATCTCTTGGATCAGATCTTCTGGGACCCCTGGGGATGGATGTATAATCCTGCAAGGAAAAAGACTCGTCAGTATTCATAATTTTATCAGTAATGGATGACAGTAGCATTTGTAGTGTGTTTTCTTCTTATTTTAGGTTTAATTGATCATAACATCAAACTTCCATCAGGTAATTACCTAAATTCAACACGAAGAAGTTGCATCTTTTTTCCTAGAGATTCCCTTCTAGGATTTACCATGAACATAACAGAGGATCCACTGCATGCAGGGGTAAAACGGATAGCAACCGCCAAAAAATCTGAAAGGACTTGCTGTAGCCTCAAACTGTCTCCATCCAGATACATAGAAGATAGACCAGAAGGTGAATTACGCATGAGCTGCACCTGGCTTTCCTGGCTAAAGGGCATTACCTGACTCATGACAGCCTCAAGAGCATCCCCAAGATTGAATTTAGCAGTTATGGTTTCCATGTAACTGCAAGCAACAATCAAAACTCAATTTGTAGTATAAGATATTGATAGAAAATTCAAAAAAGAATAAACAATTTTAAGTTGACAGAGAAGTGATAATTTTAGCTCAGACAACCACCTTGAATTTTCAAATGAAGGAAGCAGAAAAAGGAAGATAATGAAAAGGAAAGACTCCAAATTCTAAAGTTATTATCTTACCCTTCCTCAATGCTTGGGATATCAGTGTCCTCAGCGATCTTCATTAACTGATCTTCACACAATGCCCTTGTCACCATCAACTGCTTTTGCCCTCCATTCAACTCAGATGATTCCACCAAATTGCGTGTAAATAGCATCCCTTGTATTGGATTTCTGATTTGCTCTCGGAAATATGCTAACTTATTTAGGGTATTCTCAGCAGCCTTTTTTGAAATCCTTTGCAAATGCACGGTATATTGAAGTTCTGGACTTGGTAAATGGAGAAAACACAAAACTCCAGTGACCTTTCCTTCAGCATCAGTTCGTGGACTTGCAGAGAGCAATGCATCAACACATTTACCATGCCGATCCAAGAACATAAAACGCACTTTATCTGCATCCGCACCTCCAATTATTTTATTTAGTAGTATTCTGAGCTTGGTTAAGGTGTCATGATCTTTGACCTGGCAACCGTTACTTTCAGTAGTGAACACCTCCCCAAGAAGCATCCGACCAATGGCTTCCTCTTTCCCAAAACCAGATAGTTTTTCCATTGCATCATTCCACTCCAAGCATAGACCTTGCTCATCCATCATAAATATTGGAGGAATAAGATGATTAGGGTTCCTCACAATTCCAGTATAATCACCCTGCAGTTGAGTATATTTTTCCATAATAACTTTCTGTAAAGTAACATCTTGCCCGATAAAGCAAATTCCTGTAACATTTTCATCCACATCCCGACTACAACATGCATTTACTGAAACCACAGGGTTATCCTTTTCTAGGGAACCAAAGGTTCTTAATCTTACTTCAACATCTTTCTCTTCTATGCCTGCCAATTCAAATTTTCATGGAGATCAGCATAGAAAAATATTAGTAAGTATATAGAGTAAAGTTAATTTATAAATACGAACACAAATGATCTCCCACGATCTTACTCAAAGCACATGTGTATACTATGATCACTTGTCAGGATTTTCACATACCTTTCATTTTTTCCTGAAAAAAAAAGAAATTTTTTTTGGGTGTTGGGGTGGAGGGGTAGAGCAGGAAATTCCTATCACGTGATGTTGGGTGTAAATTCCATTTTACTTTTATCAAATCAACATCAATATAAAAATCAACAACCGTGAGGTAATTTGCAGCTACATTAAACATTTAAAACTTCCAGATATAAAAAATACACTATCATGTTCAGCCTAGAGAAAATAAATAAAGTATGAAAATTTTAATTGTTATGCATATGAGTAGCCAAAACATCAGTGTGATGAATAATTGAAAAATGATACCATCCATCTTTTATAAAAAAGATGCTTACTGTTAGTGTGGTATAATAGCTGGAAGAAGGGAACACAAATCAGAGTATAGACTGACTACCTTGTACAGCCAAGGAGAGGACATTTTTAATTGTTCCAACTGTTTCGTCAGCAACAACATCAACTAAAGGTAAGCCAACTGCTTTCTCTATAAGCAAACCAGTTAATTCTGCCATTCTGACATTCCATCCATTAATGACACCAGACGCGTCCACAGAGAAAATTGGAACAGCAGCTGTTTCAATGAGACGAATCATTTCACCAGTCACAGTTTGGAGTTGATTCACTAGTGAATTATCAACTCCAGGCACATTCACAATCATTTTTGAATTGTTTGTAGTGGTTTTTGAATCATCTGTAATTGTAGCACTATCCTTCAATAATCTTCGTAATATGAGCTGTAATGAATGGATAGCATCCATCTCCATGTCTTCCCAAGGTAGACTTCTCCACTTGACTACCTCTAAGAAGGCATTAAATGATGATCTTGGATGCATCTTTCTTCTATCATCGGTGTCCACAGGGTCATGTTTTGCACAACCCCATTTTATTTCTTTCACTGTATGGGACCTAAACCAAAACAGGATATCTTTTGAAGTTATCCTAACTGCAACCATCCCACAGACTGCATCCCCAAGTTGTGAAGCATTAGGGTAACCAGCTTCCTTTAGGCTATCAGTACTGAATCCTTTAGTGGGGCCATGGTGATCAACAAGCCACTGAGCTATATCTCTAAGCTGTTCCTCAGTTGGAGTGATACCAAGGGCCCATACTTTGCTCTTAAAGATGAGTGCAGCTCCATCGCACTTAATCAGGTCCATTACAGTAGGTGATTGGGTAACAATGGCTACAGGGGAGTCTCTCATGAGCATATCACAAAGCACAGTTTGAATTTTCAATATGTGGTTTTCCCTCATTTCAGCAGCCAAACCAACTTCCTTGTTTATTTGTATGCCAAAGACCTGAACTAAACGCTCACATGCAGATCTTCGAGGAAATGAAAAAAATCTGGATCTTGTGTGATGACACACAACCAAGCCCCATAGCTTTCTTCCTCTCTGTCCATCATTAACCTCATCATCATCTTCATTAATTGTCACAGCCATTACAAGGGATGCAATGGTACCCATATTTGCCATATATTGTGCATGACAACCATGGGGCGCTCTTAAAGTTGATCCACCAAGACTCAGTGGTTGAGTCAATTTTTCATCTTGAATCACCTTCACGGGAGAAGCAAGACAATCACATATCATCCTCACCTTGTTTCTCAAAAACAAAAATCTCGAAGCTTGAGGTATATCTGTTGCTGGATAATGCAAACCAAGATAAGGTTCCAATTCAGGCCTACAATACTCAGCAATCACTTCCCCATGCTCATCGTCATGAAATTTATACACCATTACCCTATCATAACCCGTTAATTCCTTCACTTCGTCAACTAAAACATCACAGAAAAGTTGAATATTTTGGCCGGGCAATGATCGCAATCTTGACATCCCGTTAGATGCAAGCTTATAAGACTCTAAAGCTCCTGCAGTTACATCTGTATCATCAGCAATTACTGGCTCCAAGTCTATGACCAACCCCACATCAATTCTGTGCAGAATGGCATAAAAAGGCTTATGCGAGTTTTTACAATGAACAAGCAAGGGATTGAGAAGATTAACCTCAGAAACACGTACAGCTTTTTGCAGTGAAGAAGCACTTGATTCTTTAAAAAGAGTTCTTACATCGGTTCCAAGATTTAGAACCTCACGTTGTTGGAAGCTAGGGGCAGCAGTTGGATTTAACTCCAACAGCTCAGGGGCATTTTTACTGTACGCAAGGATACGGAAGTCCTGCTCATCAATGGCAATCAGACACCCGAAAGACTGGACAAGACTCCCTCTTTGGATCTTTTGAAGGTAGGATGACACTGTTGAAGGAGAGATATTGCTAGTAGAATTTGACAAATTGACATCAACTGAAGATGAATAATCAAAGTGGCGCTTCGACTCATCAAAATCCAAAGCAAGCTTGGCATCAATGGGGGTTTGAGCCATTACCCAGGCATCATGCCTCGAACGAGCCGAACTACCCCTAGAACTTGTCCTCTGAGTTGACCTTGAAGACATCTTACTTGTCCTCTGAGTTGACCTCGAAGACATCTTTCACTGCAACTCTTCTTTCTTCTACAAGCTTATTTAATTAACTCAACCTACACAATCAGAGTATAGTTACTTAATTAGTTCCTTACTGCCCAAAATCAACAAAAAAACAATAATGGAATTCAAGAAAAGAACCCCAATTATTCTTCCAAATGACGGAAAAAAATTCAAATGTGAGGAAAACCCATTTAAGTTAGCCTTCAAATAACAAATGAACAAACAAAAAAAACTAATCTGAACAAAACCCATTTCATTTACTCCTTCAATTATTAAATGTAAAGAAAATGTAAGTTCTATAAAACCCATCTCAATAAATAATCCATTAATTCTTTCAAAAAAAAATAAATAAATAAAATAAAATAATCCATCAGTATTCAAAAGAATAAAAAAAATTCAAATTTGAGTTAAACCCATTTCAAATTAGCATTCAATTACCAAATGAAAAACAAAGATTACAATTTGAATTAATTTCAATTACTCCTTCAAAAATCAACAGAACCATTCCATTTCAATTAATAATCCTACAATTATCAAAAGAACAAATCAAATTTGAGTAAAACCCAATTCAGTTTAGCCTTAAGACACACACAAACTATCCAAATTTCTCACCCAATTCTCATTTCTACATTCTAATTACCTATTTCAGTGCAGCAAATTCAGTAAAATTGCTCAAGCAAAATCATGAAGTATAAGCAAATACACAGCATAACAATCACCATAACAAAAGGGACTATAAAATTAGGCATAAAATTGCAAATTCAATTCAAATCAAAATTCAAATTCATAAAGCTGAAAGAAAATGAACATACCATGTAATTATACCGAAGGGCTTGAAATTAAGAAAAAACTGGATAGAAGAGAATCATTTAAAAAGCAAGGATTTGATGTTAAGAAGAACACAAAACCCAAATAAAAAAAGTGGAGTGGAATCATGAATTTTTGTTAAAGGTTAGTAATAGAAGTATAAAAAAAAAAATTGGGTCCACCAAAGAAGTTGAGAGATGCCTCGAAGCAGATCTCTTACGAGGGAAAGAAAGAAAGCTGACTGATTGTTTGTTTGGTTCATCTTCAATTTTTGGCCCCACATTTGTGGTTATTGGTCAGCCAACACTCTGGTAAAAAAGACTCAAATTTGAAGAATCATATTCAACTGATTTTAATGTTTCTTTGTTATTCTCATTCTCTTATCATTCCTCAAATGAATTTTCTGATTTCTCCCATGAAAACTTTGAATAACTATCTATAAATAATTAAATATAACTAAAGTAACTGTCGCGGATATCATTATTTTTCACATGTCAACTTCTTGTAAAAAAATTTCCCTCCAAAACTAATAATGACATCATTAATTTTTTTTATCAACCTAAATAAAAATTAGAAAATGCTAAATTAATTATATATTTTTCTAATAGATTTTATATTTGAATTGACTAATTATGCAATTTTCATTGGAGAATTAAAGGAAGGTCGGACTATTTCATTTTCTTATAAACATTACGGAGTATCTTTTTCTCCTATTTTATATATTTTATACAGATTATATGAATTGGGGTGTCCACTCTTTATTAATTTATCAATTTATTAGATTTTTTTAAAATTATTTCTATTACGTACATATTACACACAAATAAGCTAAAAGATATTGTTAAAATCATAAATTATTGTTAAACGCGTGCATCGCGCGAGCCTAATCTAGTGATGATTATTTTTGGATCATAGACAAAGACTCGAGTTGTATCATAAAAATGATAAAACATTTGTTGATTTTGTAGGAACTATGGTTTGATGTAAAATGTTTTGGTGTAAAATGATTTTCCCATTTTCCTTTATTTGGTTTGTGAAGGCATGAAAAACAGTTTTCCTATGCACCATGGTGGAAAATTGCTGTTCTGTTTCTTTTTTTTTTGGGCAAACATTTTACTTTATAATACAAGGGAAGCCATATTTTACTTCATCCTCTATACCTCTTTATTACTTCCCTCACATACCCACTCATATTTTGATATTTCTTGAACTTTCCTTGTATGAAAAAAAAATAATAATAAAAAATCCTAATTTACAATTGTGCTTTTCGTTTAAAATATGTTTTTCATGAAAACTAAATTTTTTCATTGAAAATGTTTTACATCAAACCAAATGGGGCCTAAGTGATTAGATAGTTACCATTCAATTTATTTGTACGCATAGCCAATCTTTATCGGAGTACGAAGCTACTCATAGGTATGACTAAATTTGATTTGTAAGGTTTCACCTTAAACTGAAAAGAAAATCACCACAGTATAATCCTAATCTAATCGAATTGGCCAAATTTGATTTGAATAATCCTACAATAGTTAACACCACATGACCACACTAGAGTTTACTTGTTTGATGATAGATGCCAATCAATTTTTGTAGGCAATAGGTTCATTCTACTTTGTATTAGATTTTGAAGTTTACTTAAGAAATTTTTAACGCATAGCATCAACTTTTATATATCTCAAATTAAACTCTAAAGTTGCAGATAATAATTAACGAAGGTAGTAGTATTTGTAGATTTTTTTTTCATAACTAAGGAGGGATGGAGGACAAATCTTAAGTGTAACCCTCATGCACATGTGACATGTCTCATACAAAGTAAATTGTAATTGCTTTATTTTTTTTTTTTTTGGAAACAAAGTAAATTGTAATTTCATAACTATAAAGTATATTTCTACAATTTAATACTCTATTTTCTTGTGGCTATCTAACATTATAGATTTTCGATCTTTATTGTAGATCATTACAAGAATAATTTTGACCTTATATATAGATACTTTTTTAAAAAAATCTTTCAACATTACAATACTATTTTTTTCTTGAACTAAGTGGCAATTTGTCAAATAAAAATTTCATTCATGACTACAACAGATTGATAGACCCATCATCAAAAAACTCTATAAATCACTGTGATATGAAATAGGGTATGAAAAATGTACGATTTGCAACAACGATTTAACTCTGTTGGAAGAATGTTTTTACTTGATTCAATTGCCATGTATGTATTATATTTAAATCTCTTTGTAAATATCGTATGACTTTTTATTTATGAATTAATCTTATGAATCAATCTTTATTAAAAAAAAAAAAGTGACATTTTGTCATATGGTCAAAATTTAGTTTTCGCCTTAACAAAGGAATATAACAAATAGAAGCTTTAACCACATGAGATATAACAAATCTCATATTCGTTAATTGTAATTACTACCTCCGTTACATATTATTTGCAACGATTAGACATTTTTCCTCTCTACTTTATGTCAAATCGTTGCAAATAATATGTAACGGAAGTAGTAAGTTTTTTTATATGCCGTCTATTCTTCATATGCATATTGCTTGTATCCATGACCTAATTTCCTAGAGAATCCAACAATTTATACGGCCACATAAGTTCATAAATACAACTATACAAGCACGCCATCAAATAGTCTAATAGCTTCATCTACGAGAAACATGTATGAAATATGTTCCCACGAAACAACCAAAATTGTTCTTGTTACCAATTAAATTGCCTAAACACTAAAACACCTCTAAAATCTGTCAAAACTAACACATCAAAAAGTCCAAATCAAACATTTTGAGTTCGTTCCAAAACCAAAAACCTTCCTCAAAATTCGACAACAATGGCCACAATTCAAGCCCTTAAACCTTGTTCCTCCATTTCATACAACACTACTCTCAACAGACGTCGCAACCATTTCCAAACAATCACCTCCCTTAACAAAGTCACCTTCCTAAACACTAATAATAACTTCAACAAAATCAGGAATGCCATTGTCATCAATCATCCTAGATCTTTCCCACCAAAACCCGTCCTTGTATCGTCCTCAAGAAGTTTACGAATGTCTGCCATATCGGCTTTGACGTTGGATGATCCATGCTTATCGTTACGAAATCCCACCATTGTTATGGGATCGTATGGTTCGTCGCCTTCGGTCATTTTAGAGAGGCCTAAACCAGAGTTGGATGTCAAGACTAGCAAACCTGTTCTTGAGGTTAGTGTTTCTTGGATTTTCAATGTGTTCCTTTGTTAGGGTTTGTGGCATTTAATTAACTATTAAGTGGTTTTAGTCATTATTAAAAGCTTCGTTTAAGGGAAATGATGTAGACGTGTGTATTTAATTACTTGATGCACGTAAACTATTATAATCGTCACGTTTTCATGTCTAAATCATACGTAGAGTAGCATATACCAACTAGGGGCCTGTTGAACTCAGCTGAACTGAACTGAGCTGAATTGAATTGAATATTTTGTAAGAGAAGAAAATTAGGAGCGGAGCTGAACTGAACTGAAAATAAACGTATGAGAACAGGCCTAAGCTAGCACTTGCCTCCCCTGTTTTGTGTTGTATTATCAGAGTTAAGCTTAAATAAATGTGTGTGTGTGATAAAGAAATATGTTTATATTAATGTGGTGTTAGTCATTATTGAAAGCTTCGTTTAAGGGCAATGATGTAGACGGGCACAAACCATTTTTAATTTGATGCAAGTAAAACTATTATATATGTCACGTTTTCATGTCTAAATCATACCAACTAGGCTAGCACTTGCCTCCCCTGTTTTGTAGTTGTACTATTAGAGTTAAGCTTAAAAAAAATGTGTTTGTATGATGAGGTAATATGTTTATGTTGACATGGTGGTGTATACTGATACAATTGACTAATTGATGTGGGTTTTGAAGGCTACAGTTGGGGATTTTGATCACAACAACGGCGATAACATTGGTAAAGGCAATGTGGGTGGTGACGGTAAGGGTGGTGGAGGTTCTGGTGATGAAGATGATTACTTTGAGGATTTTGACGATGAGGAGGAGGGGGACGACGAAGGACTGTTCAGTCGCAGGATATCTCTGCCAGAGGTATGAAAACAACGGTATAGATTGTATAAGAACGAGCTAACAGACAATTAAGTGTTTATTCTTGTGAAATTTCAGCTGTTTGATAGAGTTTTCATTGATGCGGTATTGAGTGAGTGGCAGAAGACATTGCTTGAGTTACCTGCAGGAATTCGTCAAGCATGTGAACTGGTACAAAAGCTAGATTTTACAGCATTTTTGATTTTATGATCAATCTTAGGCCGTAAACTTGGATTTTCATTGAATTCAGGGTGCAGTAAGTTCAGCTCAATTGGTGAAATACCTGATGAACGAGGCGAGGCCATCCTTCACCAGAGCACTACATCGAAGGCTTCATAAGGATATGTCAAGGGAATTCCTTGGGAGGTACTCCGTATAAACTTAAACTTAACATCTGTGATCGGTGTATTTGCAATCATAACTTCAGCTTCTACGCATCTAGTGCCATAATAGCAGATCAATAATGCTGTCAATAAATCACTTGAATTTGTAATGCAGATTATATGACCATATTATATGATTTACTGACATGTCTTTCATACAATGAGTGTTGATGGAATGAACTGAGCATAATATATGACCTTAAATCCTCGATATGCTGCAACAGGATAATGGCAGACCCTTCGTTTTTGCATAAGCTTCTGTTTGAGCAGTTTGTCACTATTGCTTGTTCTGTTCGGTCAGAAATGAAAAACCGGAAGGGAAGGTATGTGCTTAATGTCTTACTGCTTTTAGAAACAATAGTGATTGACTCTTCCCAAAGTTCCATTCCCTCTGATGTAACAATCTCATTGTTTACATTGTCAATCATCAAACAACTGCCCGACCAAAGTTTTTGTTTTTGTTTGTAACAGAATGAAGTAGGAATGGGATATAGCACTTATAAATGTACTCACAGTAGCAGCGTGCAATTTAGTAATTGTTTGGTCACTCGCTCCTTGCTGCTCATATGCCAATACCTTCAGCTCTGATCTACAGAATAAACTGCAGAAGCTCCCAAACAATGTATTCGAAGCAAGTTATCGTTTTAGAGAATTTGATTTGCAGAAGAGAGTTCTGTCTTTCTTATGCAAGGCTGTACAATTTAGCTTAGTGGGATTTACAGCAGGGGCACTTCAAAGCGCTTTGTTACATCTCCGTACTCAAGGAAAAGAGAGAAGGTTAATTTTTGCACTTCATCT